GGGACTTATATATCGTGGAGAATGCATATCCGGCACTAAGCATGTGAAGTTGGACCAAAATCGGTCAACATGTTAATCAGCAACAGGTGGCAGAAGTTGTGTGACTTTTTTTGGCAGATTTATTTACAGATTTCAAACTATTCTCTTTTCTCTTCATCTATTTAGGTTGTATTGATGAATGAGGACCAGATGAGGACCTTATCACTTATACAGTTTAGGGGCAATAAAGTTGCTGCAATATATATAGTACTGTATATATATGTTTCGTTATAAGAACATAAGAATAAAGGTAACTGCAGAAGGCCCATTGTCCCATACAAGGCAGCTCTTATTTATATCCACCCAATTTCATTTATATACATGTCTAATCTAACATTAGACAGTTAACACTTTTCTGAGAACTTCACTTGGATTTACGGGCGGTTTAGTTAAGCGCTTGTCGGATCACGACGTAAATTTACGGTCCGTGTTATAGTGGGTATATACTACTCGATCGACTTGGGGTTTGTATAAATATGTTTGCCATTAAATTTTCGTTTTCTCTAATAGGCACAGTGCCTATTTGAGAAAACGGCAATGTATTGTAACTTAGAGGAGAGACTATCGAGTTGGTGACACACCGAGGGTAATCGCCCACTCCACACACTCTTGTGTTGGCCGCGATCATGATTCTACATTTATATGCATATGTCTGTGTAGAGAATTTTATTCCAAATACTATACAAACAAAAAAAACGGTGTGAAACAAGTATAAACTTGAAAAACATGAGCAAAGTAAAAACTTTTTACGCTCACGGGTACAAACACGCATAAGATTTTATTCGCCGCAAATTTATTTGACGCTCTGTTGGCCAATTCTACCCATGTTCTTATAGAACTTTCTATTGCGAACACATTGCTATAAAAATGAAATATGTAGCTCCAGAAATAATGTCAGGACAGTGAAATAAGTATAAACTTTCAAAGCGCTGCATCACAACAGTGTCGTCGCTGCTGAAATCACGGCTAACGCTTCGCCCAGTTCCCACACTCGTGCGGAACATAATTAGACATTGATAGGCATATGTCTGGGTGGGGAATTTTATTGCGAGTTCAGTGATATCAAAATAAGTGCTGTAGGATGACTGTGAGGCTGGCAACAAACGAAAGAGTATGAACATTTACTTCCTGTTTGGGTGTCACGGAGAGTCATCTTCGTGTTTATTTACTTCGTGGTGGGATAGCAAATGCTTTGGTGACATTTTATGCATATGATCTTGTAGAGAATTTTATTGCCAACGCATTGATACCAAAATGAAAAACGTAGCTAGAGAATTGATGTTAGGAGCGTGAAAAGATTACACACTTTTTTGTGTTTACGCTTGAGCGCCCAGAACGCAGTGCGCACAAGGCGCTTTTTTTTTTCACGAGTGCCGCGCGCACTAAAGTGTTATGGGGCCCAGTGTCTGTTTTACAGTTATCCCCAACATATCCTTATACTGTATTCTGTGTTTTAGGGGGTTATTTTTCTTGACTTCATTTCAACGCATATTGAACTACAACTTTCACATACTCGAGTACAAATGCCAAGCAATGTTTATCAAAACATACAAGAAAATTCATTAATTAGAACTACCCATATTCATTGTCATTAACTTCAACTTCAATTATCTCTAAAATAGGAATTTCAGCTTGGAAACCTGATAAAAAATTCAGTTTCTGACCAATTCTCACCATTTTTACATACAGTATTATGTGCAAAGTTCTTAGTTCTAAGGTCTCATTAACTTTGTTTAGTCATAAAGCCATAACGTTTGGTTATAAATTTTTTACAAATAAATTTGGCGCACATTTGGATGGCCACATTGAAAAAATGTTTTAAAGTAAACTATACTCTCAAACAATATTTTATAAATAAAACATGAACGTTATATGCCATTCCGAGACCAACTGCTAATAAAAACACCAATTAGAGACATTTTAAGATTTTTAGAAATAATTTGAAATTGTGAATTTTTTCTTTTTCATTTTTTTTGTTACCATTATTTCTGTTCATAGTATTATGTTGATCCATTAGAAAAAGTTGGAACATTTACCATAAATACATCTATCGCCACGTTTTAATGCCACGCATGTACCGCAGACTTTATATGTCATGGGGTTAATGGTGTGTATGACCCTCTGTCCTGGGCGAGCGTGCGGCGACGCCTAAATGTAATGGTATACTAAATGTTTCAGTTTTCTCACCTTAATTCTTGTGCTACGTCGTTCGTTTTGGTATCATTGTGTTCGTAATTAAATTCCCTGCAGATGTATATGTATATAATGTCCAAAAGCCTGGCAAGACTCTCCACAGCAAAACCTAAAGTTACACGTGAACGAGCACCAATTTGCACACCACAACCTAATGTGTATACTCGTTCAGTTCGATAACATCAATTTTCATGTTATATCGCTCATTTTGGTATCAAATTGTTCGCAATATAAAGGCGTGCATTTTAAAACTAGTCTCATAATAATAGAGCAATAACTGGAATTTTAACAAATATTTTAATTTTGGACGCTCATCGTCAAAATTATTTATGTTTCCAGTGTTCTGACATCAATTTTCATGTTACATCACTCGTTTTGGTATCAAATTGTTCTCAATATAAAGGCACGCATTTTAAAACTAGTCCCATAATAATAGCACAATAAATAGAATTTTAACACATTTTAAAATTTAAAATTTAGTCCCAAAAACGTATTTATAATCTTTCAAGTGTTCTGACATCAAGTTTCGTGTTACATCTTTCATTTTGGAATCAAATTGTTCGCATTCTAAAGGCGCTTATTTTGAAACTATCCCGAGGTCGATCGGATAAAAAATTATTTTTATACAAATATTTTTGTAGTGGACGCGAGTCCTGTTCACGGCTAGGAGTCAAGAGAAAAAAATGGACGTGATCGGTGTCCAAAGCGAGCGATAGTGTTAAGACTAAGACAATTATCAGAACAACATATTCCTGTATTTAGGGTATTTCTGCAGTTTCTTGCATTGTTATATCTGCATGTTCCATTAGTTCTTCCTGATAGCCCATATTGACACACACACCCCCATGCAAAATATCGGCAGGTTATCAGATTACGTCCGTGCTTTGTTGTATTATCATGGTTCAGCTGCACTACACTACAAAGATGGCTCTTTGCTGATAGCTTTAGGAGGGGATCTTGCAGATTTGTGTTGTTGATCACTAACTTCCTCTTGTAATGGGTCTCTTTGTCCGTCTGGATCTGTGGCCGCACCTTACCTTGAAGTTACCTTGAAGTGTTTCTGGGGCTTGGCATCCCCGTGGCCTGGTCATCGACTAGGCCTCCTCGTTGCTGGACTGGTCAACCAGGCTGTTTGATGCGGCTGCTCACAGCCTGATGCACCTTGTTCATTAATCGGTCCCAATAACTTAGATATTTGATTTAGTGGATTCGGCCAAGCAAACATCTTTGCATATCCTCCAGATCAGCAATTTCTCTAACTTTGAATGGGGCTGTTAGTGTGCAACAATATTTCACCCCTGAAAACAAGTATCATTAGTCTGGATCTCTCTCTCTCTCTCTCTTTTTCTTAAAGGTTCTTATTATCCAACCTATCATTTTTCTTGTAGTTATGACAGCTTTCTTATTAACGTTATTGTATTCTTCAATATTAAGCTCTTCCGATATTACCCCCAAATCCTTTATTGTTTTTCTTTTAAAAGTGCAATTTGACTGCATTTTATATTTATATTTTGTGGTTTCCATTTCAATATTTTTTTTTTTTTTAATTGTGCAGTAGATGGAACTTATCTTCATTAAAACATTATTTTCTTTAGCCCATTTGTGACCTGATTAACATCAGACGGAGGTTTGCAATGCCCTCTATATTGTCCACTTTAATGAAAATCCTAAAGTCATCTGCAAAGGATGATACTGCACTCTAGTCTACATCCTTGTCCATGTCCAATATGAGGATGAGAAAAAGGATTGAAGCAAGCATAGTATTCTGGGGAAATTGAACATTTTCCAGTGGATGATTGAGATTTTATTAAATTGACTATTACACCTTTGGTTACGTTCATTAGACTGTTGAAGATCCATCTCCCTACTTTATCATCAATTCCTTTAGTGCAAATTTTATGTGCACTAACACCATGGTTATATTTGTCGCAAGCTTTTGTGAAATTTGTACATATTGCATCAGCAGTTTGATTGTCTTCCATGGGATCTGAGACCATACTGAATGTATCATAGTGGTCTAGTTATTGTCAGGGGTAAAAGCACCTTGTTCTGAACCCGTGTTGTCCAGGGTTATGTAGACGCTGAGATTGTGTGTTTTGTAATTTTAATTTTTAGCACTTTTTCAGGGGTTTTATGATGTATGATAGAACTCTCGGTCAATAGTTTTTGTTTTTTTTTTTTAATCAGCATTGCTACCTCGTGTGGAGTGGTGCGATCTCCACTGTTTTAAGAACTGTATATCAGGGATAGCACCAGTATCTAGTCTCTGTCTCCAAAAGATGCTTATTGCCTGTGCGAGGAATCTGAGCCAGGTGCAGAAAGCATGGGCATGCTGTGTACGACAGTGGTGTACACATCTAACACATGGTACGATGTTGGTGTCACATTCACAAAGAATTCGTTTGGATCATCATTCATCAGCAATGTGTTTAGGGGTTCACCAAAAATAGAATTACACTGTAGCTGGTAATCAAGCTACAAGTAAGCTTATCAAGCTAGGTAAGCCTCAGTATTTCACTCATTTCTTTGTTGACATCTGTGAAAGTTCCATCACCCTTGCGCACGGACCCAATCTAGTTTTTGTCCGAGATTTTGCATAGGAGAAAAAGTATTCAACAACTCATTGTAATTCAGTTAAGCAATTAAATATGGTAAATAGGAAAAATTAAGAAACTACAAAAAATGCTAATGATGTATGTAATGAGAATGAGAAAATAGAGAAAATAGGAGTGTGTTTATTATCATTTAACTTGATGAGTAGTAGTTACCATGGGAAGGAGGTTGCTGCGGGGTTCGATGTGAAGAGGACAGCTGACCCTCAGGTGGGACGTACTCCAGCGAGACCCCCAACTGCTGCAGCTGATCCTCAGAACACAACTTGCCATACAGGAGGTTTGGACGACCCCCATACCCTCCTCCCATGTCACCTGCAATAGAAGAAAGTTATTAGTGTACAGTACTGATATTATCAATGGAAACATATAGTGGCAAATAAAGAGTTGTTAGAACAATACACATCTGCTCAACAATTATATATTGTATAAACCATTAATGAATTTATAGTGGCATACAGCTACAACATCTACTCTGCCCAGTACAACAAAGTAAATGCCTTTAGCACCTGCACCAGCGGATACAAAACAAATTCTGTGAACTCTCTGAATATAGTCCAATAACATACTAAAACATGGATAATATATGATGTGGTCATATAACAGCACTACCAATAACAGGTTGCCAGTATACAGCCACCAAAACCCAGTACAGGTACTGAATCTCAAGCCAATTAACAATGCCACCAATTCATGCCAACACACAATGCTACCCATGTCCAACAGCCTGGTTGATCAGTCCAGCAACCAGGAGGCCTGGTCGACAACCGGGACGCGGGGACGCTGAGCCCCGGAAGCACCTCAAGGTAACCTCAAGGTAAGGTACCTTGCATATGTCGACCAAACCACACACTAGAACGTGAAGGGATGACGATGTTTCGTCCCTTCATTATCACAATCGACTTGAGAATGGTCCAGGACGGACCGAAACATCGTCGTCCCTTCACTTTCTAGTGTGTGGTTTAGTCGACATATTTCAGCCACGTTATTGCGACTCCTCGTCTGCCTACCTTGCATATTAATATTCAGTTTTAACAGTGTTTCTCAAGAAAAGACACACCAAACATTTGGGTGCCTGATACCTGTCGATTTGCTTTGCCTGTTGTTGGTTCCTGGAATCAAAGTCCCGTGGCCTAGTCTCTGACTAGACCACCTCGCTGGTGGTCTAGTCATCTAGGCTCTTGGATGCACCTGCTCAGAGCCTCACATATGAATCACAACCTGGTTGATCAGGTATCCTTTGAGTTTATCTGAGTGTTTGTGTTAGTTGAATAGTGTTTATCGAGGTCTCTTTTGAACACCATAAGAGGATGGCCAGTTATGTTTCTATGCATTGAGGGAGTGTTTTGAAAAGTCTAAAGGATATGGAAATAAAGATGTCTGAAGACCTGACATTTAGTGAGTGAGCACAACCAAACAAATACAGCATCAGCCAGAAAGATGGCAGGATGGATTATGAGAATATATTCAAATCCAAGCATTCCACCATAATTTTCATACTAATCAAATCACTGGTGCTGTCTCTCCTTGAATGCACTCACTTTCCCCTTTAAGAGCAGGAGAGATTGCTGAAATAGAGGGATTATAGAAAACGTATGGCACACAACACGATACAGCACCCAAATTATTTGGGGCCGTTTCAAAGCTCTCAATATGTATTCTATATAATGGGGATGAGAGAAGGGAACTATCAGTAAAAAGTGTGAAGCCATTTCGATTATATAGCATTTGGAAGGGATCAGGATAAGGATTTGGGATGGGATGGGGGAAAAGAATGGTGGCCAACCACTTGGGCTGGATTTTAGAGCGACTGTCGCACTTCATGCGAGTTGCCGTTCAATCTCCAACTGTCCACTATAGTTCCGGCAATATTTCTTATAATCACTGGGATGATGTTGAACAACCGTGGACTTCTGATGCTCATACAGTGTTGTTCTCCGATTGTGCCTATGGCACCTCTGTCCTTCACTGGTTCTATTCTGTGTTTCATTCCATATCGTTCATTCCAGTTTGTTATTACTGCATTTTACTGTGTAAATTTGGGACCTGGTCCACCAATATTTTCCATGTATATACAGTATTATTTGATCTATCTATCTATCTATCTCTACCTATCTCTCTCACTCTCTAGAAAGTAGATGAGAGAGAGAGAGAGAGAGTACATTTGGAGAGCTTTGAGACAATCCCAATAGTTTAGGTGCTTTATAGTGTCTATATATACTGTATATGAAGAAGGAATACAGAATATTATGAACATGTTTGCTGATGATACCAAGCTACTAGGTAAGACAAGAAACTTAAGACAATCGTCATGCCCTGACCTGGACAAAAGTGTATTGAGCAACACTTGGCGAATTTAATATGAATAAATACCATGTTATCGAATGTGGGATAGAAAATAGGCCCCCACACAACCTACAAATGATGTGGAAAAGCTTTAAAGAATTCTTATAGAAAGTTATAGGAGTGGTTCTGGATAATAACACTGTCACCTAAGGATCACACAAAGAACATTGTGCAAGGAGCTTATGCTATGCTTTCCAATAGCACAGAAAGGTCCAAAGGTCTTTGTGAGACCAAAGTGAGATATGCAGCAGTTGTATGGTGCCCATATCTCAAGAAGCATATCATTACTCGAGAAAAGATGCAGAGACATGAAGCTAAATAGCTTCAGGAACTGAAAAACAAGGGCAACGAGGAGAGGCTAGAGGCATTAAATATACTAAAGCTAGAAGATAGAAGAAAATATGGTGACATGATCACTACGTGCAAAACAGTAACAGAAATGAACAAAATACAAAAAAGAATCATTGAAAACAGCAACTTCAAGAACAAGAGGACAAAGGTTCAAACTAAGGACACGAAGGAAAGGACACTAAGGAAACGAAGCTGCCAAAAAACATTAGGAAGTTAACTTTTAGCAGAGTGGTAGACAGCTGGAACAAGAAAGAAGGCGGTGGATGTCAAAACCGTCAGTAATTTCAAGGCGTCATATGACAGAGTACCGAGAAGACAGGACATCATAAGCGAAGCTCACGTCTTGTAACTGCGCTTAGGTATTTACCAGTCGTATACTTGACCTCCAGCACTGGCATATTCCTCACTGCAGTATGTAATAAAGTCTACTGATCAGCCTTGGTTTGGATATCACAGCAGACGGCAGCCGAGGCCACAAACAAGGCTTGGCACAGATTTAAAAGCCATCCCTTGACTCATAACAGGAACAGTCAAAGACACTCTTGTCATATGATGAAAGAGGTTTAAAAGTAGGCTATCATATTATTATCAATGGGCCACAGATAATAATATGATGTTTAATGAAAATAAGTTCATGCTCCTGCACTATGGAAAGAAAATATATAAAATAAGGAAACCATATTTAAAACAGAATCAAATCACACAATAGAACGAAAAAGCAATGTAAATGATCTAGGAGTAATCACGTCAGAAGACCTCACCCTTACCGAACACAATAAAGTAACCATCACGACTGCAAGAAAAATGGTAGGTTGGATAACAAGGACTTTCCAAACAGGAGATGCAATACCAATGATGGTACTTTTCAAGATACTGTACTAGTTAAGCTAGAATCCACTCAGTAAAACATCTAAACTACTGGGACCGACTAAAGAGCCTAAATCTGTATTCGCTTGAGCGCAGGCAGGAAAGATACACTAATAATTTACACATGGAAAATATTAGAGGGGCTGGTTCCAAACCTGCACACAGAAATAACATCACATGAGACCAGAAGACATGACAGCATTTGCAGAATACCCCCATTTAAGAGGTGCAACAAGTACTCTGAGAGAGAACTCTATCAACATCAGAGGCCCGCGACTGTTCAACACGCTTCCACTACACATAAGGAACATAACTGGCCGACCCCTCACAGTCTTCAAGAGAGAACTATCAACTTCAGAGGCCCGAGACTGTTCAACACGCTTCCACTACACATAAGGGACATAACTGGCCAACCCCTCACAGTGTTCAAGAGAGAACTGGATAAGCACCTCCAAAGAATACCTGATCACCCAAGCTGTGATTCATACGTCAGGCTGAACAGCCTGGTTAGCCAGACGACCAACCCAGAGGTCTGGTCAGAGACTGGGGCCGCCGGGCCTTACATCCCCGGAACGTCACAAGGTACACACAAGGTAGGTAAGAAGCTAGATGGGAATCAGAAACGCGAAGAAAACTTGCACCCAGAAGAGTTGGATCCAAAATCTGATGTCCCTCCTTAACAGCCCATCCTCCAAAAATGGGAGGTAAATGTAACAGCACATGTGCAATTATATACTATTTATAGCAGTCAGGAATTGTACTTATTTTCACTTAGTATTAAACTGTACTGTCAATTAGGAGGATGGATTGCTCCTTAAAGATCAGCAGTGATATTCATCTAAGGACACAATCCCGCCTCTAAACCGGGCAGATTAAACTGTTGCAACTAGCAATCAGGAGAAGGCTAGTTGCCACTTCTATTGGCAACCCCATCAACCAGGTATCAACCAGGTAAGTTCCTGATCTTCAATGACAACCTCCACATCGTGTTCCAAGTACTGTGTCAAAGTTGATTGAAATTGCTTTACAACAAGTCAAGCTTGGCTCTGGACTGGGCTTGGTGAGTAGAATAACTCCCAGGTATCAAATAGGTATCAGGCTGAAGTTCTCCATCTCCATAAAACGCTCAACAAATATTAGGCAGTGGGGCCAGATAAGGTCACCCCAAGACTACTACTGTATGCAGCTGTGTTGACCTGTTGGCTCCACCTCTCACATGCCTCTACCAACTATGCTTAGCTCAAGTACTAGGAGCTGTACAAAAATACCAAGTACAAAAAGTACAAAAAAAAAAGAGCTGTTCAGTGGTTAATAACTAAAGACCAGTGTCACTGCTTTCAGTTATTGGCAAAATTCTTAAACATTAATCTCTTGGCAAATGATAAAAAAATTTTACCATCATCTCTTAAATTATGTGAGATGGTTTTAGAAAAGAACGCTCTGATGCTGCTGCTTTCTTGCTAAATCTCTCCGTAAAGTGGGATCAGTCACTGAATGACTCCAAGATCAGCTGTATTGTTGCTCTGGATAAAACAGATGCCCTTGATCAGGTCTGATACTCTGGATTAGCAGCCAAGCTTCAAGCACTTGGCATCACAGGCCCCATTGTAGATCTAAAAAAAAAAAGACTACCTTCAAGAATGGAATCTGAGAGTCGTCGTCAATGGAATCTGAAAGCCACTCAATTGGTGCCAGCATACCGCAGGGTAATGTGCTTGGCCCTCTGAGTGTGTGAGTGTGATCATTGGAAT